TAAATTAGGTACTGTATATATAATTATATATTAACTTAATTTACTGTAACTTTATTATAATTATATATATTTTTTCCGCCGTCTAGCGCCACGCTACGGAGAGTTTAGGCTAGCTATCGTCTATACAGTATGTAAATTAGGTACCGTAAGTCTAATACAGTACTGTACTTTTATACATTTCTTGTGAAAGAAACATTTCTTATTCAACGGCCATAAAAATTATTTATATTAATGATGTCTCCAAAGTTCAACGAAGTTTTCACAGAAAAATAACATCAAAAATTGCGGCCGCGGTTTGTTGCGCTGTTCCGCGACGAAAACAAGCTTGAGCAACGGCGATGTCGAATGGTGCACACTCGGTAAGTAATCCTACAATTTTTTGTTTATAGTAGTTTATACGGATTATTCCCCCAAAAAAATATACATGTTTTGGAAATGTTGAGTCGGTTTAGTCTAGAATCGATTAATTTTATGAAATAAAACCTTTCAAACAGCCATATTCCGTAAACTTCACACCGTGTCAGGCTGTGATTGGCTGTGATTCCTACAAAATTGATTCATAAAGAACGGAACGTATCTACCGTCTTATAGGGGAATCGACTGTATATAAAACATTAATTGTTTCGCATGTATGATTGTAATAATATTCTACGTATGTGTAATAAAATATATTTGTTTTAAATATGTTATGATACTTTAAAAAAAAAACTTTTTAAATATTTTAAATAGCCTACCAGTGGCCAAGCGGTTTCGTTCCCTGAACACTGGGAGTTCGGTCGTGGGTTCGAGCCTTACCTGGACGTGCTGGCCACGTGGAATTTCCCGGGTTTTCTCCATGTCTGTAACGCCTAAATAGGGACCAATTATCCTTAAAAAGATCTCCCGGAAGGCATCTCCCCTAGGCAGGTCGCCCAAGTGTTGTGTTGCTATAACTTAACAAACAAAGAATACTTTTAATTATTATAAAATGGGAGGAAGCTCAATTTCGAAGTAATAGACATGTTTGAACAAAAAAAAGAAACAATAAATGCTAATAACGAGTAATATGTTTATTTAGCCGTATCTCACTGGAGATACGACGATCAACACCACTCTATCTCCCCACCATTTAACCACTAAAATTTAACAGCATTAATTCACCTAATACACAAACCTCTCTGCCAAATTTCACAAAAGTTGAACACAGGACTTTTTATGCTTTAAAGTGAATGAACAAAATCGTCCTCTCTCACTCACACATACAGAAAAATACACGAATTTTTTACATGTTTCGATGTTTCAAGGGTCCATGACACGAAAAATATAAAAATTTGGGCGGGTCATATTTTGATCATTCGGAATACTTTTATTCTTATATATAATAGAGCCTGGAAAGTAAAAGTACAGATATATATTGTTGAAGTAAACTTAATCACTTTTAGCTCACACTCGCTAGATTTTACTTTCTATTTTTTCTCATAGAATTGAGTTCGTTTCAACATTTAACTTTTATAATCTAACAATATTTTATACAAGATCTTATAGATTTCAGGGTTATTTGATTGATCATAAGAATATTACTTACATTTGCATGCGTCTCAGTTATGATTTTAACTGGTACACTTAAAATACAGTTATACCTCTGGACAGTGCCGTATCCAGGCAGGTGCAACAGGTGCACCCGTACAGGGCCCACTTGGAAGGGGGCCCAAAATGCATGTATTTGTTTTATTATTTTCCCAAACCTAATTAAAATTAAATGGCCTAAATACAAATTCTTGCACAGGGCACAGGAATGGATAGTTACGGCACTGATCACATGTACAGTGCTTGATTGGTTATCTGTACAAAAAGAGATTAATGGCTTATTGTTAAATGGTAAAAGTAACATAACAGTTGGTGTCACACGTGTGCAGTTTTAAATGTAGTTAATGGGAAAGTTTAAGCAAGTCCTTGCTGAATTTTTAAAAAGTTTATTAGTTTTATGTGTAACAATATTCAAACTGAAGAAAGAAGTAAAATTCAGAAGTGCAGTTTAGTTAATCGTAATAATTGTAGTACAGGTAGACCTCCTACAACGCGGTAGATACGTTCCTTGAAAATACCGCGTTGTGGGAAATCGCCTTATAGGAGGCACCAACTTAATACAAAAAACTGAAATTCGGTTCTAAAAAGAGAAAAACTTGGCGTTTGAATGGCGTTTTTTGAATTTTCCAAACCAGCCATTGCTAGCCAAGAATTTAACACTGGTTTCATAAGCTGACGACTGTCCCATTTGTTTTAAATAATCAAATATTTTTAAGGCTTTGTGTTTAAGTGCAGTTTTATTTAAAGGCACCCGTTTTCTGTTCATATCTTCTACCCATAATATTAGCGCTTGTTCCATTTTTTTCATTATAGGTGCTCTCAGACGAGCAACATTTTTCGCAAGAATAGATGATCCGGATTCGACCAAATTTCTGATTTTTTCTCCCGATTGCTTAATCGACTGAATAGTCGACTCATTTAAATTAAAATTCCTACCAATATTAGCTATTCGCTCTTGATTTTTAATTCGATCCAAAATTTCTATCTTTGTTTGAAGAGTTATAAATTTCCTTTTTAATGACAGTCCTTTCTTTTCATTCGGCATTGTTATGGCTAAAATTTTTTCATTCAGTTTTGTGGACAGTAAAAATTGCAAAAAATAACTTCCTTTCATTATGTTGTTAAAAATATAAACCCAATAGAAGTTTATACTGTATTTTGGACCATTTTTGCAATCCTCACTTATTGAAAGAGTATAAATGATCGAAAATTTAGTGATATATTTGAGTGTTTACGGTAACTGATGCACATCCATCTAGAAACCGGTCTTTCCGTAAAACTTTCAAGGGAATAACACGCCAACGTCGACAAACAGCTGTTTTCAAAGACTTTTAGCTTTGTATACCGAGCTGCGGCTCGTATCACGTGATCCGTTGCGATTTTTCTGTTATGTGAAGATAATTCGTTAGTCCGTAAAGTTCACACCTATCGGCTGCGATTGGCTCATGTATTTAATCATTCCTACAACGTAAAATTCGATTAGCGTGGAACGTATCTAAGCGTTATAGGGGGTCTACTGTATGTTCAATAGTATTAGAATTTATTTTATGTGAATCTATAACAAGGCGAAATTTGTTTTCGGTCTGAGGACGAACAATGAATTGATTCAAACAGGTAACAAGTTAATACCATTGTTTCGGGGATCATCAACGACCATCATTTGTCGCTACGGCTGCAGTGACGTAGTCTCTAGCATAAAAAATTAAATAAAACAGAATAAAAAATTGCGCGCTTGTTCTAGCCAATTTGATTGATTGTAAATTTCATCCTCTCCTCCGTATCTGGAAAACGAACTCAAGGAAGCTCAATTTTATTGAATTTTTTATTTCCTCCACGAAATAATAAAAGTTTAGACTTGTCATTTTAAAAAACAAGAGAGTTGTGTAAACTGAGGTTTAACAAACTCGACCAATAAAATTTGCAGAACGAATCAACCGTGTAATTCTCATAAAAGAGTCTTCTCTAACGCTCCCGCGGATTGCCAAAAAATTGTTTTATTGTGCGAATTGTAACTTCGTGCAACGAGTCGAAAAGGATTTCCGGAAAACACATTCCAGGAAAATACGAGCCATTCATAGAAATTTATCTTAATGGAAGGTCGAAGACAACCGTGTCCCACCTGCTGACAAATGAGATAAGTGGATTTAGCCTCAAGGAGCTTATGAGTAGAAGAAAGAATATCGAAGAAAAAAATGCATTTTAAATACAGATCAAGTTCTAGGAACAAAAACTCCTGGGATATTTTAATAACATATTTTTAAAATTCATAATAAATTCTATGTAATGTCCTTACCTATACAAAATATTTCTATCATATTTTAAGGCTTTTAAGTGTAATAATATAGGGTTTTAACACATTAATTAATATACGTTAAATTTGAAGAGTAAGAACTCATTTTCGTCAAAATTTGATTCGTTTTTTATTAGTTAATTTCTAGATTTCTTTTATATAGAAATCTAGAAATGATACCCCAAATAATTCAAAGCTAAAGATATTAAATTAATGTATATCCCTTAATTCTACGAAGGTTACAGGTTAATTAAGGCCTCGTGCTTTTAAGTATATTATTATTTAGTTTAAAAGAGCTTTTACATGTTGTAGCATATGGCCACGCTTAAAGACATTTCTACTTGTGCGTATTGTTACGCTCCAGGGCCCTTAGTCTCGAGTTTTTCGTGTTGTACTCGAATTGACGTCATCGAACTCACTCGTGTTACTGTGACTCACATAATCGGTAGTCTCGAGTTAGACCCATCGAGCGAGCTCGAAAGGCGAGCGGAAGTAGGTCATATTCACTTGTTTACGTGTATCGTTAAGCATGATGGGATTATTTACAATGCATCTGGGTTTGCGACTATACTGATTCGACCAATCAACTTTACTGTAACAAGTTGTAAACAAATCAACGTGAATTAGTTTACACGTGTTATAGTTAAAAGTTTTGTCCTATAGCAAAATGGAAACCTCCAATATTTTATTTTAAAAAAGAAACGAAGAACAAAAAGTAGTATTAGTAACATATATAGAAAATAATAAGAAAACGAACAATAAAAAATTCGACAACGAATTTACAAGAAAAAGACAATTTGATTTGTGGAGCAACTCGCATGGTGAGATGGGAAAGCATGTGAGTTATAACTGGAGACTACCGATTTGACGTCAGAGTGTGAGATGGCACCACGTGACACCTTCAACACGTTGGGAGTTGTAACATGAAAAACTGGAGACTAAGGGCCCAGGTGTGTCTTGCTTAGTAAGGGATTCGTTTAATTAACTAAACAAAGAAACGTGACAATTACCCGGAGGCATACTTTTGCACACGGCACCAAAACACTTTGGGTCGAGCAGTACAGTAACTTTTTCACACCAGGTGGCTTTGTTTGTCTGTCGAGAGAGTGTCGTTTTTCAGACGTTTCAAACGTTGAGATCGAGTTCTACGGAGTTCACTTCTAAAGTTGTCTCTGATTGAGCTTCTTTAAAATTTCTTTTAATCTGTTATTTGGGAGCTAAATATGGATGGAAAGATGGCAAATTGGGGTCTATGGGCAGAACATCAGGAGAAAAGTCTATCGCAGAAGGTAAGTGATGATTCGTGTTTGGTCTGTGTTTTACAAAGTCCAAACACATTTATAGAACTTTGAGTAAAATCTAACAAAACTTTTTTTAATTTAAAAAAAATGAAGAGATCAAGTTTAAATACTTTTTAATTAAGTTGTTTTATTTCTATGATAATTACTAAACACGTGAGTGTGTTTTGAATTTATTCGACAGATTACCACGTGCTTCGTTCCGATTTATTTCTGACTAATTAGACTACTATTTTATCATTAAATCTACACTTTAAATCGCATTTATTGTTTATTGCAATTTTGTTCGTTATTTAAAAAAGACTTAAAAAATAGATCAATTTATTTAAATAAATTAGTAAGATTGACAGAAAATTAGAAATAATATTATATTTTTTAATTATATTTTACAGTTTGAAAGTATAAAGATCAAATCTGCAAATGACGTGGAACTTGCGGTAAAGATTGCAGCAAAAAATTCTACTGAAAATTCTGTTGTTAGCGGCAAACCCGATGAACCCGGTACGATGAATTTTATTGTTATCGCTTAAAAATTAGCAATGAATTGGTTTAAATCCATTAAATTTTTTTCATTTAAATTCCAGCAATTTTTCAGATATTATACTACAGTGATTAATTATAGGATACGATTATTATTTTATTGAAGAAATTGAATATGTGTTGACTTATTTTTCTTATGTCTTTAGAAATTTCCCTTGCCGAGGAGTCATTAATGAGAAAATTTCTACATACAAAACTTGTTCGTACTTTTCAAAATGTGGAAGTTGAGAGAAAGAATCCAAATTCTCCTTTATATTCCGTCAAATCATTCGAAGAATTAAACTTGTAAGTGCAATTTTGAACATTTTAAAAGAAATATTATGTATTTAAGTGTAAAGTGTTATTCCTTATAGCATTAATTGACTTGGTTATAAACATATGTTTAAAACAGTATAATTTTAGATGAGATTTTCAATTATTTACTGGATATTTCTGTAAATAAATATAATACGAAAAGAAGATGACTTTAAAACGTAAACAAAATGTAGTAAAGAATTACAAATCTTACTGTCTTTTGACTATAAATTGAATATAATGTCTCATCGATTGTTATTTATACAATTATTTTGTTATATTTTAGTAACGTAATAAAAAAAATTACACATTGCTGTTTATATCTGCAGGCGTCCAGAACTTCTGAGAGGTGTTTACGAAATGGGATTCAATGCGCCATCTAAAATACAAGAAACAACAGTTCCAACGTTACTGGCCAATCCGTGAGTACATTTACTTTTCTACGTTATTTATAAATGTGCAGCTTACAATTATAAAGTATGTGATTTCGATAATTTTCGTCATAAAACAGAGCTCAAAATCTGATCGCCCAGTCTCAGAGTGGAACGGGAAAAACTGCCGCTTTTTTGTTGGCAGGTTTGAATAGAGTGGATCCACATAAGAGATTTCCACAGGTAATTTACGTTAATTTTAATTAATATAAGAAACTTGTCAAAACATTGAATTTAGAAACCAAATAAAAAGTTTAAAAGCGAAATAAGGTTTGTAAATTGAATTCATTTTATTTCGAATTTAGTTATTAATTTTGTCGCCAACCTACGAGTTAGCAGAACAGACCGGCTGTGTTGCAAAGCAAATGACAAAATTCTGTTCGAAAATTGGAATTCGTCTTGCGGTGAGAGGAGAAACACGTAAGTCTTGTTTTAAAATATTACCGTCTTTCTGTCTGAATAACGATCCATGCAGCAGCCTCTTACTCACCAATATTCCCGCTTCACAGATGAGTATTGGGTGACAGAATCGGTCTAGAAGTGCCGCTTGAAACTATACATTTATGAAGTTTACAATTTACAAAAGTAGTCATAAAATAATTGCTTATTTTTTTGCCTTTAGTGAGCAGAGGTGAAAAAATATGGGAGCAAGTTATCATTGGAACCCCCGGGAAAATGTTGGATTGGAGCAGGAGATTCAAACTGTTCGACCTGAAGAAAATTAAGGTGTTTGTACTGGATGAAGCCGATATTATGATCGCCACCCAAGGCCATCACGATCAATCAATCCGAATTCATAAGTAAGTTAAAGCGTATCTTGACCTTCTTTTTAAATGAAATCCTGTGTAAAATTAAGAAGAGAGTCTTCGTTTCTTACCTAGGACATTAGCAAGACATATTTCTATAATTATAATCTATAAAGTTATTTTTAGCTATTTTAATATGTCCTGCGAGTGGTTGATAAGAGAATTAATGGCTTATGTCTTTAACAGTCAACTATCTCCCGAGTGTCAGATGATGATGTTTTCTGCTACTTACACCGAAGAAATTATTGATTTTGCCAAATTGATTGTGCCTAATGCAGTTGTTTTACGGCTCAAGAAAGAAGACGAGAACCTGAACAACATCAAACAGTATTACGTGTTTTGCCGGAATATTGAGGAGAAATTTAATGCATTATCGAATATTTACGGAGTTTTATCCGTTGGCCAGGCAATTATATTTTGCCAGGTAAGTTTTAGTTATTTACAGTATTAATGTATATTCTAAACTAGTAATTGCGAATTAATTAAAATGAAAATTATAGAAAATTAGACGAAAATTAAGCTCTTATTTAAAATGTTTTTGTAATGAATTAGTAGTATTGTTAACACCCCATTGAATATCATTTATAATTAAAAGAAAAGTTCGCTTAACAAGCAGAGAAATGAGAAAATACAAATCAAATATTTCATTTCTTGTAATAAAAACTTGAAATATTTAAAATTAATATTGCAGACAAGACGTGCTGCTGCTTGGCTGTCCGAAAATATGAGAAAAGTGGGCCACGCAGTTGCCCTTTTATCTGGCGATTTGTCCATAGAGCAACGAATTGCTGTTATCAAGACGTTTAGAGATGCAAAAGTGAAGGTCCTTATTACAACCAACGTTTGTGCAAGAGGTAGGCAAACTCTTATTATTGTCTAATTATTAGAAATTGCATTCACTTCGACATAATATTAATACGATGCGATTTTTCCATAGGTATCGATATCGAACAAGTCACTTTAGTGGTAAACTTTGATTTGCCCGTCGATCAGTATGGTAACGTGGATTGCCAGACCTACCTTCATAGAATTGGGCGTACAGGGAGATTCGGAAAATCCGGAATTGCCATAAACATGGTAGATGGAAAAAGAACAATGGACATGTTAGAAAAAATTGAAGATTGCTTCAGTAAGTGAAATGTGATAATTATACTCGGTTTAAGGTTTTCTTTAACACGTAAAAGTGTGCAGAAAAACAAATATTTTAATTGTTATACTGCACATTCGAGAATATTTTTTTATTTTTAGACTTTTGTTAGATTAATTTAAACAAATAATATTTCAAATAAGTGTAATCTAGGAAGTAATTGCAAGTACGATTTTTTTCCCGTAGCTTTAGCAAATTTTTGAATTTTTAATTTAGTGATTAGATGATATTTAAGTTTGAACACGGATGAAAATTTTAAACGTGACGAATTTTCTGTTTCAGAGCGCAAGATCACCCGATTGGATGCGGAAGACGTGGACCAAATCGAAAAACTCGAAGAGAATTGAGTGCTCGGATACGACTTGTGCCGTAAAATTTCACATATTTTGTCAACTTTGTAAAAGGAATACCATTTAAAATATAGAAATTTCCATGTGTAAAATAGATATGAAGGGTAATACCGAGGCTTTTTATATTAAGTTCACTTTTGTAAATTCCGCGAGTTGGCATTTTATACACATAAGCACATTTTACGGATTCTTCTGATATTATATTTCCATGTTTGATGTGACGAAAGCATACCGAGTTTTAATTTATCAGTAAACAGATAATCTAAAATAGTCAATGTTATCGTTATGATACCGTTTCTCGTGAAAAGGTCACGTTACGGATGCTGTATAGTGTTTTTTTACTAGCAAAGATTTTTAGTTGTAAATAAAATTATTGACTTTAATGATAATTGTGTCTTAACTGTTCTTTGATATTTATTTATTACAAAACAGAATGGGGCGCAACATCTGAAGATGTGCATGTAAATCAGTAAAGTGGGTTTATTAATCAGTTGGAGATCGTCTTCTTTTTTATTTGAACTTTTAAAGATCTGCATCCACATCCATATTGTGGATCTTTAAATGCTTACAGATTTTATTTTAACATCTAAAGAACGAAAACTTCATCACTGATGAGGATACGAATTAGATTGGTCCTATATTGTGCTCCGTTTCATTCTAACTCTAAAAATCTGCATCCAAATTTCGTTTTTTGTTACATGTGTGAGATTTCTTTCTAGAATCTAAAGATCTGCATCTTCATCCTCATCTGCACTGTCCATTGATGTGGATACAGATTTTTACTTGCTAAAGTAACATTAATTATCTATACAGTATATATAATCGAGACAAGTTGATAATGATAATAATAAGCGCAGAGCCCAAACGTGAAAGTTGAAATTTGGTACACAGTTAGGTACTGTACGTCACGAAAACGCACACAAAGAAGGGGTTTTTTCGAAATTTCCCCCTGGGGGAGAGACAGGATTAATGAGAAACTACGGTATTGCAGCTTTTAAAGAATGTTAATTTTAGTGTTTAATTTTATATTTTTCAGAAAAATAACACCTTTTATCAGAGCTAGAACGGAAAACTGCAAATTCCCGCAGAGATTTTTAAAGAACCTCTTTCACTTGCTGCAGATCCAAAAGCGAATCTCAAGACGGTCTTTAACATAATCAGTCACATATGCAATTCGAAATAGTTTTTAGTAATGCCCATTTATATATATCAAAAATATAATTTTATTGTACAGTACTTTCATCTATTTTAACCAGCTGATGTACTCAGCCTTGTTCAGTTTATCTTAGAAAACATCGAACAGGTTCGATAAATTATTGCGTTTGTTAGTTGATGAATATATACATTAAATAATTACTTCCGTAGCGTTGTCCACGAATAAGTCAGACAGGAGGTATAGAATAAGGAATTATTGGTAGTTTTAAAATAGTAAATTATATTGGTTTCGTTGCATAAACATTGCAATAATTTTGCAAATATTTTAAACATAAATATAGTACTTTGAAATTCGAACAAATAGCTTTTACTCGTTAAGTATTGTTTTACTATATTCCGCTCTGTCGTCGATTAAATTCATCAATGATTAACTGGATATCCGACTTTTGCAAAGTTTCCGCTTCTATGCATAACATGGATACTGCGTTGAGATGAGTTTCAGCTATCTTAGAGCGTAAGTAGCTATTTTTTAGGCTACTTTTAAACAATGAGTTGTAGAATTTGCACAAGAACATTCTGAGCTATAGCACATTAAGATAAATAACGTACAAATCTTTATTCCATACACCATTGACAGTGGCGATGAAGTCTTCGGGCTTGGAATCTACATTGAGAACTTCAAGATGAGAGTTAAGAGGTAATATCTCATTTTGAACTATTGATGACATTCAGCCTATTCCTTTTGTCGATCATTATTTTCTTTGATAACTTAATATCACTGCGTCGACACCTGCGGACGATAAAAATTGTTATTACAATAATTTCATTATAAAGAAAATATTGGCGTCATCTTTTAGCGCAATAAATCTTTCAAAAACTGAAGGTAGTAAATATAATCTATTAATAATTATAGGTAATAATAATTAGTAAACTTCTATTATAAAGGAAATAATTTTGAATTTCTTCATATAAATATTATTAACTATAAATATGAATTACTTTATCATTGTTATTGTGTAAACGATTACATGATTATTAAGTTATACGAAATGCTTTTTCACCTAGGAGAAATACCTTGAGTTATTACGCACAAAAACGAAACATTTTACATTTCGTATATAGTCTACTTTGACTACACGTAAGATAAAAGTATTCGTAGTAATTGCAAATCATTTCTTTTTCTACTGAATACTTGCAATGAGTACATATTGAGAATTTGCAAGAAAAAGTAATTGTTAAATAGGGAACGTATCTGTTACTTGTACTGTACATAGTATAATTTGCCGATGCAATCGTATGCATTAAAACGTTTCCAGCTATCCGACTCCGTGGTGTTCGGTAGATTTGCACAGTAACAATAATAAGCAAAGAGAAGAGAGACGTTTATCTCCTTATATTAAATCCGATTTGTGAATGAATTACGAATCGCGGGTTCATATAGTTGTGTTGTAAGAAAAACCATACAGATGTACGAACAGATGTAATTTATAGGAAATGTATAAACATTGCGACAATTCCGTTGGAAAGCGTCGGTTGAGGGACAATTCAATTCGGGGCTGTTCTCGCACGAAAGGACAAAAGTGATGGGAGATAACTTACGTGAAATCGTGGGTTGCGGGAAAGCAACGGGAGAGCAGTCGTGCGCGTCTCCGAAATTTTGTATAATTTTATTTCGTGTTTATTCATCTGTTTTGTTTGTTAAACCGCGATGTGCAATAGCAGTTTGGCAAAGAAGCAAGATCTTTCTATGCTGTCGCGAAAGCAAACCAGCATCAGCAGCGATGTAAAGAAGCTATCAACTTGATCGAGTGTTTTAAAGCAATTTCGAGTACAGCAGTCGCTTTTTCGTCGGGCGTTGTCGCAACCGCTTAGATACAAGGCGCACTGATCGGGAGACAAACAGAATCCGTTTGCAATTGGATTCAGTGGAAAATGCCAGAAGAGTAAAGTGATCGTCGGTAGAAGTAGACGGCAATACCTACATGCTTGTTGACGTCCGCAGAGTTGGAGACAATTGAAAAGGGTAAATTTTTAAGACAGATGCCGGTAATTCCCAGGCTAAAAATATGTTTAATGCGAGATATTCTCCTCGACAATGATGCTTTTGTGAGAATACGAGGGCACAGGGTCAGAACCGTAATTGTCACTTACACATCGAGTTGGTAAAACTCGCCTACTTTATCTTTTGGGTGGCTTTCTATCGAGTGGCGAGGGGAGTGAACAATTCGACAAGGGTCTTTGGATAGACAGGAGACAGGTTTAACAATTAAATAAAGCATTTATTAAGATCTAAGGTTAATATAGAGGAAGTTAGATGCGAATAAATACTAAATATATACTAAACGGCAGCTCTTAGCTAAGCCTATTCCTGTTGCGGGGAGAGAGAGTTCACAAATCGCTAACAAAAATACCTCTATGAGGAAACGAACAGTATGCGTCGATAATTTCGTAGGAATCGCAATCCTTGTCGATATGGCGAACTGTATGGAAGTCCGAAACCGTGATCTGTCTTCAACTGGTGTCTTGTCCTCTCGTTGGATCGGGGCCGTTGTATGGAGGTTCGGGAGACGGTTTGCGCAGTTACCAAGTATAACTTCCAATTCAATCGCCTTGAACTTCCGGGGGCTCGAGCTTTTATTCGCTTGTCATGGGAAAGAGGTCACGTGATCGACCATGTTGACGATGACAATGCATTTTCTGACACCTATGTGTCAACTTTCCCATCTGATTGCTGACAATCGGGGTGACATCCTATCCGAAACTATTCGATAGTTTTTCTATCGGCGGATGTTTACATAGAATTAATTTAGTAACGTAAGTTAAAACAACCTCAAAACTCGTGGATCTCATACTTGGTTGCGTTATTAAGCCGGGGTGCAGAGTTTATTGACCGGAGCTCGGATAGCTCAGTCGGTAGAGCGTTAGGTTTTTAACTTAACGGTCCAGGTTTCGAGTCCCTGTTCGGTCGATTGGCTTTTTTTTTTCTTCGTTTTACCAAACGTGGTTGTGGATTGCCGCAATTGTATCTCATTTTACAAAGACTCAGGAATGCGCTCCTAACTGGATATGCGAAGAAGAAGTATACAGAGAAAATATCAGATTTGTTCGGCAGACTATGTATGTGAGTTGATTTTACATACAGCTTTTTTCTGGACGACTATCGACTCTTCGACGATTGTTTTTATTGCAATTCGATAACACGACGAATCTAGCTGTGATTAATTTCTTTAAAATCCACTTCAAAAATTAGAATATGACGACAGTGTTCTACCCACACAAAGACAGAATATTGCACTAGGAGAAAACGAAAGTGTTTTGAATCAAAGGTGACAGAAGAGCCCGGTTAGCTCACTAGGTAGCGTATTAACCTTTAACCTAACGGATCTCAATAAAACATAAAAAACCCATCACATACCGTACACCTTTTGTAATCTAAATATACTATCACAAAATACACTCATTCTATCAGCCAAATCCCTCCAATGGGGTTTGGGCTCTTCTAAATTAAATTACATTTAATAGTTTATTTTAATTAATTAAACGTACAGTAACACATTAAAATCACATTTCTGTACACTAAATAAAGTATCAAAATAATACACTCATTCTTTCAGCCCAAACGCCTCCAAAAGGATTTGGCCTTTTCTAAGTTAAATTGCTCTTCCTAATAATTTTTCTTTATAAAATTTAATGTACAATGAAGCATCAAAACCATACCACATGCCCCCTTTTGTTTTCTATATATAATATCACAATTATACGCTCATTTTTTTCCCAAATCCTTCCTTTGGGGTTTTATCCTCTCCAAACTAAATAATTCTCCAATTAATTTATTCTAACAAATCTTTCGCAAAACTGTACTTTAAAACCACAATACCTCAAACACTACTAGACAAAACTACAACAAACCTACATTGCCCAGCTTAATATCAATTCTTACTCATAACACCAATTATTTACTCCCTCCATCTAACTCATACTCATACTTGGCACTATCCTACAGTCATATAATCACCTCCATACCTAAATGCTAACACCATTTCAATTCACTTTATTTCTCTTACTTTCTCTTTCATTGTACATATTCATCACAGTTTCTTTTCCTCTTATCACTTTTATTCTTTTGTTTGTTTGTTTGTAAAATTTATAAAAAATATTTATAAAAACCTCTGGGCTGGCCCTGT